TGCTGTGGTTGCTGTATGTGTGTGTATCTGTATGAGTTCTCACTAGTGAAAATTCACCAACATTCAGCTATATTAACAACATAATTAGTATGTACAATTTTAGTTTTATTTTTCATCATGATGTGCATTTCCACATACCCCCAGTGAATACACTATTCCTCTTCCCCTTTTTCCATTTTACTTTTAATAAAACTGATACATTTCCAGTATATATCTTACTACTAGGAAAAGCTGCATGTACAGGTTTATTCCTAAAGGAACCTTCCCACCACTCATTTTTTTAAATGTAATTTTGTTCTTATTACATAGCTGAATGTTTTGCTTTATGACTGATTTTTAAAATGTCATTCAAAAGCATTTATATGATTTATGCCATTTAGTAGTCCCAGGGTTTTCTTTCCAAAGCCTATGGAGGTAAATGCTAAAGTCACTGTGCAGTGGTAATAATACAGCAAAAGTCTCTAATTTCTTATGGATAGAATCAAGAAGCTTCAGCTTCCTGGCATCTGTCCTCCTGCCCCGTGTTCTTCCTGCCCTGTGTTCTTCCTGCCCTGTGTTCTGATCACAGCAAGACTGGTCCAGAGTACAAAAGATACAAAAAGATCATGAGAATAAATGGGTCAACAAAAGATATGGTGCATTAGATCATTCACAAGTGAAGGATTAAACCATTTTTGTGAGAGTTTGCATCCCTGAAGTCTGTGAACCCCCATCATCCCCTTACACAATCAAATAAAAAGTATAACAAGCTTAGGTAGTAGTTTGTTCATCCTTGAACAAACCCAAAGCCAAGGAAAGTCTAATATTCAGCATCTGAGCAGAGGGCATCAACATTTGGTACACAGCCAACATCATCTATAAATAATCAGCAGGACTGAGCATTCTCTTGAGGGTCCCTGAAACACATGAGCCTTGGAGAGTGGTTGGGTATCTGCATTAATAAGAGTATTGGTGCTGGTGATACCAGAGATCTTTTCAGAGGCACACAGACTTTCACGGTGAAGCTCTTTCCCATCCACAATCGTCTGCTCTGGATTATCCCTCGTTGGTTTCCCAGCACACTAGGATGCTTTTCAGCTCTTCCTCCAGGTAGTGTACAGAGTGATCATTTGGAATAAATACTATCAGTATGATGTTCCCCCAACACTCTTTCTTAAAACATTTTGCTATCTTGACATTGTTCTTAGAAAGAAGATTGAAATCAGAAACTTGGTCCACAAGACCTAACTAAAGGCCTTTTTCTCCTCTCTACCAATTGTATAGCATATTCTTATAATCTTGTATTCTCCAATTCTTATAATCTTTCTTTTCATTATCCTTTAATCTTTTCAATTTTACTTTCTCCCTACGCTCCTGGGCCCTTGAACATCTGTTTCTCCATGTCCTCATTGCCTGGGTTACATAATCTCCACATGGCTCATAACTTTGCTTTGCTCATTTCCTTCAGGCCTCAGCTCACTTGCTCTGGGAGTCCTTCCGAGAACTTCCCCATCAGAGTAACTTTCCATCGGTTCCCATGGCACAAGTTTATGATACCATATAACAGTCCTTTTAATCTGCATCAATCTCAAAATGGTCTATAAAGTCTTAAGAGCTCTAGCTACATTTGCATTGTCATCAGAGTTATTTTCTTAGCCACATTTTCCCATTTAGTATCTTACAAGAGATAGATACTCTATGATATCTATATTTGACTGATTTAATAAATGAATGAATGTGCCAGCTTGTCCAGGGCAGGGATTATCTAGGACTTAGTCCGTCATTACTTTTTTTCTTATTACTGTTATCCAAAGAGGGTTGTCATCCCTGCCACATGTGGTAATTAAAATCTAGTCTAGGAAAACTAAAGGAGGGTAGCTGATGCATCCCCAAGCGATCAATGATCATGATATGTCAGCCACTACAATGAGCTCAGGGCCCAGTTCTTTCCGCTGAAAAGGCAAATCTGTACCTGTTGTGATTTTTATCTGTAATTTTTATCTTAATAGTAAGACATACTTACCTCCTCATGCATAATTCAGACACAAAGGTCTACCAATATATCCAGGATCCCGGGAACTTCCTGTTTAAATGGAATATGCCATGCCATGACCCTCAGAGTTCTCAGTAATAAAAAGCTGACCCTCATTACTAATGCTCTGGTGTGAAGATTGAGTGTCTCCTATCTTCCACAGGGAGAGCATTATCATGAGCAGAGAATTAAGAATGCTATTAGGCCCAAAAACCATCATGACAACTAGACAAACAGAAAACAGAGCATGGTAAGGGAGTAGTGTATGTGTGTGTGAGTGTGTGTGTGTGTGTGTGTGTGTGTGTGTGTGTGTGAACAGAGATGTAAGGTATCCTCTGTTGGTTTCTACCTTACTATTTGAGGTTTAGTCTCTTGTTTGATTCTCATTGGCAATTGATTAACCTAGGTTTTCAACAAGTTCTGAGATCCCTTGTCCAACAAGCCCCAGAGCTGAGGTTCAGGATATATGCTCCACGCAGGCCTTCATGCTTTTCCAGGGAAAGCACCTTACCTATGAGCTATCTCCTCTGTTCCTTGGGAGAAGCGTTTTATAAGTGACAATGTCTAAATGAAATGAGTACTACTATCTCTACAGGATGATGAAGGAATTGTAGAATCAAGTAGTGGCAGCTAAAATCTTCCTTTTCTGAGTTGGGTGGGTAGCTATACCCTCTTAGTACAGGCTAAAGCAGAGTTGGTTGAAGATGCAATCTCCTCATGTTGTCTTACAAATATGGACCCTGTTTGATATCTACTCTGTGAGTCTACCTCAAACTTGCTCCTCTGTCTCCAGTGCAATTTCTATTGCTCATCTTAAGCCACAAATCATGATTATATACCTCTCATATTTATCTCAGACACTTGTTTTAAAGTCTGGCTTCCTTTCTCTCAACCACACCTCTGGTTGACTTCTTAATTACTCTGAACCCTGTGAAAACGTGGAAGTAGTTATATACCAGGAACAGAAGGAAAAGATTGATCAGTGCACTTGAGTTGTCCACATGAATGACATATTAGCAAGATTGCTGGTATTTGTACTCATTAAATGAGGAAATTCAAATAACCACACAATGTACTAACCTGTGGATATTTGTGTAGTTGCTTAAATGGAGGGATTTGTTGTTGCTGCTGTTGTTTTTGTTTTTTTTGTTTTTGTTTTTGTTTTTGTTTTTAACCTAGCAAAAGATTTCAGTCTGTGATGTTACCGAAAGCCCTACTCCCTCTTGCCTAAGCATTGGTCACCATGCATGCTGCACCGTGCTACTGGGCACAGACTGAAGCTGTAGGTCGCAGATACTCACAGGGTTTGAACTGCTTCACTTTTTTTCTGTGTATTAATCCTTTAAATGTCAACATTGTAAAGTTGGCCTTTTCAAAAGATGTGATACCACATAAACCTTACTTAATCAAAAATACATTTCTAGTTCAAAGGTTTTTGGTGATTTAGTTTGTGTTTTGTTTTGTTGTTTGCCGGAAACTGTGGAAGGCTATCAAAAAAAGAAGGTGTTAAAGGTAGGAAGCTCAATTTTGCCAGTTGAGTCTAAGCAATGTTGTTCCTTGAAAGTCTAAACCATCATTCCAAAGGTCCTTTCTTTTTACAGGACTTTGTAAATGCAGACTTTCATCTCCTGACTGCACAGGAGAAAAATAGAACAATAGATTAAAGTAAGATTTGAAGAAATATTGTGTGTCTTTTAAGCCTCATTTTAATATATTTTCAGCAGTTCTTTATTTGCATATCACTGTATAAATTGCTATTTATATAGATTTTATAGTAACCCATTCAATAAGATGGCAAAGTACTGTTGTGCCCACTTCATAAGTTTAGTAACTAACTCAAAGAGAAGCTCAATGATTCATATGAAGTCATATAACTTGTTAATGGTGACTAAGATTCAAGGCTGAGTGAGACCTTCAGTGCTTTAGCCATAGGACTAACTCTTATCTACAGAAACGAATGGGAAATTCAAAGACAATGATTTATTATCCCAGACTGTAGTTTCCTAGCTGAGTGAACCTTCAGTAAATGATGAAAGCTTTTTAGACATCATGTTCATCTGTGAAGATGATGACCATTTCCTACCCTTCTCTCCAGGCTAATATTCTACAAAAATTCTCTGATAGAACAACATACCAAGATTAAAAATCTATTTGCAAAAACAGATAGGAAGCAAACCAAAAAGACTAATAATAATTATTATAAATAATTCTAATTCTCGTGTCATATCAGGTGTTAAGCAAGGCATTTTACATTCTTTTTCCAACTTGGTAAAGGAACTGGAAATAAAGACAATTCACAGTTCTTGAAGATCTAGGAAGTGGTCTTTGACCATGTCAGATGAGATTTTTTATTTATTTATTTATTTATTTATTTATTTATTTATTTATTTAAGATTTCTGCCTCCTCCCGCCACCGCCTCCCATTTCCCTCCCACTCCCCCAATCAACTCCCCCTCCCTCATCAGCCTGAAGAGCAATCAGAGTTCCCTGCCCTGTGGGAAGTCCAAGGACCTCCCACCTCCTTCCAGGTCTAGTAAGGTGAGCATCCAAACAGCCTAGGCTCCCACAAAGCCAGTACGTGCAGTAGGATCAAAACTCACACACTGAGACAATGGGGATGTTCTATCGGGAACTCATCAAGGCCAGCTGGACTGGGTCTGAAAAAGCCTGGATAAAACCGGACTCGCTGAACATAGCGGACAATGATGACTGCTCAGATGAGATTATTAATAAAGTCTTCTAATTAACTGAATATTACATTCAACTTAATTGGTAATCAAGCACCTGCTCTTCTAAGCCTTAGAAATTTGATCATTGGTGCCCCTTTGCTTTAGAGAGTATTCTCAGCAAACTAATTGTTATAAGGATGCTATTATAGCAGAAGACAGGTGCTCCCAATCATTGGAGGAAGACGAGTGAACCTCAGACCCCAAGGTAATAGCAGCCAAGCACTAACTCACCTCCATTTAACACTACCTGTTTTCTGCAGGGGGATGTGCAGCGGACACTCATCCAGGTGGACTTTGGAGATGGCATTGCAGTGTCTTATGTCAACCTCAGCTCCATGGAAGATGGCATCAAGCATGTCTATCAGAATGTGGGCATTTTCCGAGTGACCGTGCAGGTGGACAACAGTCTGGGGTCTGACAGCGCCGTCCTGTACTTACATGTAACTTGTATGTTATTACTGTTGTTGACTTATGACATATATTGAATATTTGCCCTTTAAAAATCTAATGTACAGTGTCTTACCTAGAGTAGTACAGTCGATATCTTTCAGAAAGGGAAACTGTAAGAGAACATCAGAGTGAGAAAGAAGAAAGTTAAAAAGTGTGACAGATAAAAATCCTAGACTCTGGATAAAGTCAAATTGTTCTCGCTTTACCTCCCATGCCTTTTCCAGAGCCTTCAGAGATATAAATCTGTCTTTAATAGGTGCTCAAGCACCTATCAATATATATCAAGGGTACGCCATATCAATGTATAGCAATGGATGAATGCCAGCTCAATCACTACAGGTGAAGAATTTCTCTCCCAGAAGATTAGGGATACCTTACCAGGAATGATCCCTTTAGTCTTTTTCTCCTTTTAAAAATGGGTTTCCTGGGTTTTGATCTGTAAGTGGCCTTTGGTTTGAGAGAAGATGATCTAAGGGGAAAGATTATATAATGTAAAGAATTCCCTATATTAAAAAATAGGTTCAAGACTGTTAGGTGCCCTTCCCAAAAGAAGTTTAAGTTGTGAGCCACAAGGTGAAATAATAACTTCTAAATTGAATTGAGACGTTGGTGGCATATGAATTTGTAGGTGTGAGGCTCCCCCAATGGTTCTTGGAGTTGCCTTGTTATTACAGAAAGTAATAATTTCTGCTAAAATGGAATGTGCCGTTCAGATCGCAAGTGTGTTTGTTAAGAATGCCTGTGTATCTCATCTTACCTTTTCTCATGGGAGGCTGTGGTTTTTGCTGGAAGGCTATCATCCTGAGAAATAACAACTGCAAGGACCTGACACATCTGGTCACACTGCATCCACAGTCAGGAGACAGTGTGATGACAGCTTTTTATTGGCTTTTGTGTGTTTGTGTGTGTATGTGTGTGTCTGTGTGTGTCTGTGTGTGTGTGTGTGTGTGTGGTTCTAGACTCGAGCCCATGGAGTTGTGATTCCCACACTCAGAATTTCCCACACTCAGGGTGTGTCTCTCTGTCTCCATTATCCCAATCCAGAAGCTTTCTCATCAAGTTTAATTTTTTGAGTGTTTCTATACACTGGCTGTTGTTTTAGTTGCTATGTTCCTGACACTTGATGGGATTTTAGTTTTGATCCTTGGATGATACTAGATCCTGTCAAGTTGACAACCAGTGTAGCCATCACAGTGATTAAGGACAGATCCCTGATTGGGTGAGTCACTCCTCTCTAAGCCTAAATTCTCTCCTCTGTCAAAAGATGCACATCTTGCACCCAGTGATTCTATCACACAAATTATATGACATTCTGCCAATTCATAAAATTTGATTTTTCCCTCACAGTAGAGTAGCAGATGTATTTGGACTAAGTGAGCTATGAGTTAGCTGAGGATTGGCAGCATTTCTTAGCTGTCACACCTCTCCTCTGTTCCCCCTTACCCTGCAGACCTCTCCTCTGTTCCTGCCTCCCCTTCGTCCCAAGGCTCTCCCAGGAATCACAGTGCTTGCTTGAATACACATTCCCTCCACTCACCAGAACAGAAAGGCGATTTGACTCCAAATTAAAGGTTTTTCAATGTGAGTTTGCAAAGATCATCAGAAACAAATGGCACTGATGTTCCTGCTGTAGTGTATCCAGGAGAGAGCATGCAGCTCCTGCAGGATGCCAGGGTAATCTATTGAAGCCTGACAGGTGGAAATTCCTTGGGGATAGTGTTCACTCTGCTCTGCTACTTTGCAGACTAATGAGACACTTGGTGCAGACTTTCTGGCCTTCAGCTGGATGGGGCTGAAGAAAATGTAGAGGGAATGAGGATTTCGGCTCAGAAACTGCCTCTTCCTGGACGTCATCTTTGAGGGGTCAGGGAAGTGGAGTGTCTGCGGACCTATAGAATGGAAAGTAAACAACATGAACAAAATATGAGCTGGGTGCTTTAATCTATCCTTGATCCATCTCTTTCCTTTGCTCCAAAGAGGAGCAATGAGCCTGTATCTTTCTGATACCACAGTCTGACCTGTGTGCCTTAAAAAAATCATGACACTTTCAAGTATTGACAGTATTATTATGTTGGCCTAGCAGAATCATACGAAGTGTAGTTTAGTAGGTCATCTTCTCCGGAATTAAATGATATAAATGTTGTGATCTGGGTTCTAGCTCAGATCTTGTTTATTATCTTGTCTGGAAAAATGACACCCTAACATCCTTCATGAATAATTCTTATGGACACTTAAGTCTCAGGAGTTCTGCTTTAACACATCCTCCTTATAGTGTGTCCAGTGTCTACTTCTCATGGAGTTTTCATTTTTTAGCTGTTTAAAGACACAGCAATATGATATATATCCAACATATCCAAGATTTAGTTGGATATATGCAAGCTCAAATAACTTTAGAACATAAGTCTAAGAGGCAGGCCACAGTCATTAAACACACACACACACACACACACACACCAAAAAAATTCATTCTCACAGACATTAGCTATTTCGTGCCATCTAGAAAGTCTAATAACCCAAAGAAGGCAAATGCAGTTCACTCTAGAAATTCTGGAGTTTTTCAATAATATGAAATGATGCAGCGCCACCTGCTGTCATTTTTCTGCATCACAAGTACCTATATGATACAAGGCCGAATGGGCTTGCTTGTTCAGTACATAGCTGGGGATCCTCAGAGCGAGGAGTTTGTCTTTCTATTCATGAAACATTCTTAAAGTATACAGTTATGACAAGAACCAGCTGTTTTATATCACTGAAAAGTAAATAAATGCAAGAGGCCATAGAAAATTGCAGTATATATTTCATACCTGTATCTGGGTACACACACACACACACACACACACACACACGGGTAAAACTGCAAAACACATATGCCTCTACTTCAGGGCCAGAAAAATCAGCATGGGTTCTCGGTGCTTCCTGGATGTCCACTGTTGCATCCTCGTCCACCATCTTACACTGCCCTATTGGATTGTCTTGTTTTCTGGCTAGCATGGCAGGCACACCTTCTCAGGACGTTTCCACTGACTCTAATCTCATCCTTGAACATTCCAAATAGATTATTTGCACAATCTTTCTCTCACTGATGCTTGGTGCCATTTCTGGAGCTCTCCTGGAACACTCTATCAACAGTCCCCCCCCCCCATTCCTAACTCTTCATTGGAGGGTCACTGCCTTCTTCCTTCCAAACAACCTAAGCACCACCAAGTTCCGGGTGTTTCCACCACTGAAAACCACACCCAGAGTCCAGTGGCACTCAAAACTGTTGGACGAATGGCGTGGCCACAGTTCAGCAAAGATCCCACCTCATCATTGCCGCAATGACACCTAGACATTGTTCTCATTCTGATGTTCTGACTGGGAAAAAAATGAAACTGAATAATCATCTATGACACAGAGAAAGTGAATTCCTATTGAATGAACCTTGGGTTTCTAGAATAGACTGTTTTTTATTTTCCTTTCAAATTGATTTATTCTCTCTCTCTCTCTCTCTCTCTCTCTCTCTCTCTCTCTCTCTCTGTGTGTGTGTGTGGCTATGCAAGGTGAGTTGGGAGCATGCACATCACAGCATATGGAGAGGTCAGAGGACACCTTTTGAGAGTCTCCTCACTTCCCATCTTTACATAGGTAACAAGGAACCTAACTCAGGTCACTGGAGTGGCACAACAAGCAACTTTTCCCATTGACCTGCCTCACCAGCTCCTCGTCATTTGATTCATTTAGCTCAGAGCAGGTGATCAGGATGTCAAAAAAGAAGGTCTGCTTTGTATGAGGGTTGCAAGGATCTGAGACAGGTCTGTAAACAAAAGGTCTGGGGAAGATCAAGCCTTGGCGTGCTGGGAGACAGCTATGTTGTTAAGAGAGTCTGAGAGCTGTACAGTGAGTGAATACAGGAGTAAAGTGTATTATCTGGTGCCTGGGACCTATTTACATGGAACTCACTTTCCATTTGTAAGCAACGCAGTTCCAGGCAAGCCTGATTCAACCACAAATACCAATGTGTTGCCTGCTAGCCTAAGCAGATGGCTTTGTCTCAGGTGTAGATCTGATCACATTTATACGTATCCATATTTTAACACCTTAGACTGTAAGAGTAATTATTGAAGGGGAGTTTATGGCTTCCTGATCCTCATTCTAACAGATGTCCAGCGACTCTGGATCCTGTTTATCTCTGAGAACATAACCTTGTGGGAAGAATTGTGACTCCCTGTGAACTCTTATATTTTAGCCGTTGATGTTTAGACTTCGTGACTTACTTAATTTTTGCCTTTTTCACTTACATAACTCAGACCCAGAAGATGAATCAGTAAATTGAGTTGTCATATGTGGTTGTTCATAACATGGATTTATTTCTGAGTAGGGAAAGCAGCAAATACTTCTCTTGGAGAACGTGGCTGCAATGTTTGGGGTCTCCAGGCTGAATGTGTATCCTCTCTGAGCAGAGAAGGTGGAGCCGAAGCAGCTCTTCCCTCTCTATGTCCCTCTCTCTTCCTCTGTGCCTCAGGTCCCCTGGAGCATGTGCACCTGTCGCTCCCTTTCGTCACAACAAAGAACAAAGAGGTCAATGCCACTGCAGTGCTCTGGCCCAGCCAAGTGGGCACTCTCACGTACGTGTGGTGGTACGGAAACAACACAGAGGTGAGCTGGCCTTCCTGGGTGTCCCCAGTGATAGAGGCGCAACTTATGCTTGCTGGGAGCCCAACAGGGTGAGCTGGCTTGTGGCTTTGAGTCTGAGGGTAGCCTGAGCTTCCATGACAGCAGGCCATCTGTGCTCAAATCCTCACCAGGTTCCTCCCTTTCCCCCACCTCTGTCTGACTTATCCAGCTCCCCCCTACATCTCTCCTTTGCTTTTCACTTGTGTTCTCTAGGTGAACCATCCCTGCTACATCCCTCAGCTGAAACAATGGACTTGTTCCTCAAAAGTCCTACCAGAAAGTCTGCAGCCAGACCTCACCAACCAAACCTTCCATCCTTGATGTCAGGATGGGGTTGCTGTTTATCTGAAAATTATCACTAGAAAAAAAAAGAGAACAAAACAAAGTTCTTCTGTTTCTTTCCCCCACCTTCTAAAGCCAATTTTTCAACAAGACAGGATGCTTTCCCTATGAAATATTGTGAATCTTGATTTTAAACTAATCAAGAAAGAAGAAAAGAAGTATTTGTGAGGAAACAGTCAAGAGATGTCAGTAGATTATTTTATTTCTTTTAGGATATGATTCTCTGATTGTGTTATAGTATGACTCTTTCAACTCATTTCTTTTTTTCCTTTAGAGTCCTTAAACCATTATCCAGTTAGCGCTTGCTTTCAGAGCGGCAACTTCCAGGAAACTGGTGTTACACAGTGACATCACACAGGCCACTCCTCCCTATCTAGAGTTCACTTCTGAGGCTGGGGCTGCTGAATTCCAATATAATGCTCTAGAAATGGTTTACCCTGCAGATGAATACCAGAAATCATAGAAATTCTCACTGTTTGTTGATGCATTTGAGGCTTCTCGTCTTCATTTATCCAAATGGTTCATTTGATTAAAAGTTCTACTGGGTAGGAGAAGTAAGCAGAGACATGTATCCTGTCAATACCCAAGGCTTATCAGACATTGATTTCCCAAGTCCTTACTCAGGATGATACCAGGGGCAGGTGTTAACTTTTAGGAAAGACACAGAATCGCTTATGGCTACTCCTGCACCCGCCATCTCATGGACTTCAGCTGACGGGGAAGAACAGACAGTTAATAGAGTGGATGGCCAGAATGAGCCTATCTCTAGTCCCAGCACGTGGGAAATGCGGGGACACCTAGAGACGGAGGCTGTTTCAACCATTGTTGTGACTTTCCCTTCTCTCCACGCCCTTGTGTGTTTTAGCCCTTAATAACCTTGGAGGGAAGCATATCGTTCAAGTTTACTTCCGAAGGAATGAATACCATCACAGTGCAGGTTTCAGCTGGGAATGCCATCCTGCAAGACACGAAGACCATCGCAGTCTACGGTGAGTGCCCATGTTTGCTGATGCACCTCTGCCCACATCGTCAGATGTGGTTGGTTCATGATGCTAAAGACTCCCCTGGATTAGAGATGGCAGCACTTGAGAAAGAGCTAGGATGTTCATAGAGAATGCCATTCACTAGCTGAGCAATGGTCATCGTAGGCTGGAAGTTTCTGGTGCGTACAGGGAGAATCTTAGCTCCATCAGTGTGGGTGGGATAGATGGGTAAGCACTCATTTCCCACGAGTACGGCTAATTCATTACAATTTCATCTGATATTTGGGTAGTTAAAATTACTTATTAGGAAATGGCTAATTCAGAGAGATTTTGCTTTCCAATTCCATTTGAAGAAGACCTTTCCATTATTTAAAATTTTTAAACTTCTTTCACAAATCTGTCCTTGAAACAACAACAAGAAAAACTTAATGACACCATCGTCAACAGCAAACCCTCTACTAGACTAAAAGCAATAGAAATGTTACAGTCATCAGAGGTGAGCCAAGAATTGCATGTCAGTTGAATAGTAGCCACACAGTACAATTTTGTGATCATCTGGGGAAACTAATATATTCCAAGTATTAGATGAAATTTACTGAAATGGAAAGGTAGGATTATTACTTCAAAATGAGAGATTAAAAACGGTTTTTACAGATTGATCCCACTTTGGTAATATTTTTTCTATATAAAATGCTAATTAGTTGGATATGAACTCAGTGTTACCAGCAGATAGTAAAGACGTAAATGTTTATTAATATGAAAGTAGTACATATGTATCATGGGAAATTAAAATGTAAAGAAAACAAGGTTTTAAAACTAGATACAGAATATGTTTGCTGGCTAAGGAGAAAGAATTTGAAGGTGGGAGGGAGAAAGGAAATATGGGAGAGAGAAGTGAGACATTTTTTCTCAGATATCAATTTAACCCAGTTCCAGAATCAATTGCTTCCAATAATGTAATGTAGGTCTAGATTGTTCTTTGGGGAATACAGCTCTTTCTCTCAATTTCTTGGTGTGCTAACTTGACCTTCAAAACCAGAGAGTAATTTGTAAGCAACTTTGAACATATCTGAAGATGAAAAGGCCTAAGGATATTGTTCTAGAAAGAGATGGCTCAGCGTGAGAGCTCACGCTTTTGCCTCTCCCTCTCCTTGAAGAGGTCTGATCAGCTTAGACAGCGAAAGGAAATAAAGGTAGATATTTCCCAACCAGAGGGCTACCATGTCAGCATGTATAGTGGGGTGAGCTGTTGATTCAATTTCCATACCTGTCTCCTTTCTATGTTCTGGGTATGAATGGAATCTTTCCAGAAACCCTAGTGTAAGGGAAGTAACTGTACTGTTTGTAAGTATCCCCCACTGGTGATGGTTGGAATTAGGCTTCACCCCCAGCCCTGGGCGCATGGTCTGAAATTGCCCTCTGTATTAGATTTTTTTTTCTATTTCTGTCTCAAAATACCCTGAAAATATCCTGTTTCACCTTTCCAGAAGGATAGAGTCCATTGTGCCAGGTAAGACATAGCAGCAGGTGGAGAAGCTGCCTGATAAGATCACATCCATATGCAGGAAGCAGAGCAGAAAGCACCAGACATAAGGTCAGACTATAAAATCCTCAAATCCCACAGACAGTGGCATATTCCCTCCAGTGATGGTTCACCTCCTAAAACAGTGGGTTGCATCGAATCACCTAAGACCACTGGACACAGATATTCACATTTGATTCATAATAGTAGTAAAAATACAGTTATAAAGTAGTAACAAAAATAATTTTATGATTGGGGTCACCACAACATGAGGAACTCTATTAAAGGTTTGCGGCATTAGGAAGGTTTGAGAATCACTATTCTAAAGGTTTTGTAACCTGTATTAACAGTGCTACCAGTTGAGGACCAAGTATTTAAACATGACCATGTGCAGGACATTCATGTTAAAACTACAAGATTCTAAATATGTGACTCCTATCCTTTCCATGGGTGCTCTCCACCTCCTTAGATGGATCCCTCTCCCTCTTGGATGTCACAGGTTGTCCTGCACGTCAGCTGTGTACATGACCTCCCTATTAGAACCTCCAAGAGATTCTTAAATCTAGAAGGTCGCTGTATTGTTCTTATCCAAGCCATCATTTACTGCTAGGGAATTGTGGGCAGACATGCGAAATTGCTGGTTTAAAGTCATTCTGCTACGTTGTGACAGTTCCATTAATAGCAATGGTGTCAGTGACACGAGCTAACACTGATGAAGCCTGTTCTAATCACTAGCATCTGTCCCTAGCACTTGAGATATATGAACTGCCTTATTAAATCCTGTGAACAGACTTGAGAGGAAAATTCTATAATTATCCCTGCTTTACAAATGAGAAAACATGGCATAAGTATAATGAACAAACACAGCATAAGAAGCCTGTGTCTAGAAGGGTCAGTTACCACATAAGTTTACCCTTGCTATGCTTTGGCCCTTATGCGCAGTCTCTTTAAAGTCATCTTCTAAAAGTAGAAGTAGGAGATCATCTATCTATGCATCTATCTATCTATCTATCTATCTATCTATCTATCTATCTATCTATCTGTTTATCTATTTCAAAGAAATAACTCTGCCATGGTCCTAGGGAAATATGCTCCTAAATTAGTCAGGATTTACCTCATAAATTAACAGAAATAGAATCGACAGCTGCAAGTTTTGACATTGAATACCCTAAGAGAGGCCAGCAGGCGCACCAGAGGATACCTGCATAGAGCTTAGCAAAATAGAGGGAAAGTAAGGACCATTGTGTTGAACGGTAGGAGGCAAACTATTGAGACATGATTGGGGAAGACTGGTCTGCCCAAGGCCACCAAACAGACCTAAAGGAAGGTCCTCTAACTTGTGTTCTTTCTCCCCAAACATTCTTGGGCACAGGTTTGCCTTTACAGATGGCAAATGTATTGAATTGATCTACTTTAACAGCTTCAAATAATGCCACTTAATTGGCATTTTATTTTTTCCAGTCCTTCTTCATGTATTTGAATTCTTAGGAAGCACATTTCTAAGCCATTCTATCTTCACCTCATGCTGGTTCCTGCGTTAAGTGATAATGAGGAGGCTGCACCGTTTGTGTCCTTCCACTAGGCTAGACAGCTTTCTTTATAGATAGATGAAGTCACTGCCCTGTGATGAGAGGTAAGGAGAAAGTGAGAATGACATCAACCTCTGCCGTCGGAGTAAAGTTAGAACTCAGTGGGCGCCTCTTTAATGCTGCCATTTATCACACTGCACATTTATATTCTTGTAATTATTCTCCACCAGAAATGAATCAGGGATGTTCACACGGGTGGCCAGTGACTCACAAAATAGTCAAACTTTGAAAACCATATCTTTGGAACAAAGTCACTCTCATAAATACACATTTTATTATGTAAGAGTTTTAAAAGCATGTGTTTGATAGCTCGTTAGCTTTGTTAGGAAATGCACAAGTGGGCTTTTATGCTTCCTAGATGTATAATTGGCATCACTGAAGTCACTTAGCCCCCACCGAAGCACAAGGACATGCTTGAAACAAGAACTGATTGTCAGCTAAGTAAATGAATAATAACAAAACCCTCACGGAAATGGAATTATTTACACATCCACAAATTACACGGTCCATGCGTGATCTTTAAAAGCCTACAGTTGCTAAGTACAGTCCTAAGGTCAAAAGCACAAAATCTCTGTCCCCATTGACCACACACACAACACATACAACACACACACACACACACACAATACCATTGAATATAAAGAAGGCAAGAACTATCAAATGATGCAGTCAATTAGTGCAGAGAAGGATGTTCTCTGTCTGGTGATGAGAAAGCCTCTCTAATGAGAGGTTGAGGGGAAGTCAGGCATGCTGTTATGTGTGGCAAGTTGAAGCATCTGCTGTGGAAAGTGGATGGCATGATGCAGAAGCCATGGGACACAGCCCAGCAGTACAAGGTGCACAGGCAGGGAAGCCCTGCAGGACACAAGGTAACAGAAGTAGGTTACGCTATGTGTAGTGGGATTAAAGACTGTGGTAAGAAAGTGCATTTATCCTAAGTGTAGTGTGGAACAACTAGCAGATGCAGGGAGACAGTACTGTGTTCTGCATGTTCTGTGCACCCAACACTGAGGTAGGGGTGTTGAAGGCATAAAAACACACCCCGACTCTGTGTTCTGAAGCTCACACCAGCCTGAGGCCTTAGCGTCACTTTCTTGGGGCAGATGCCAGCTAATGACACAGTGTCAAAGAGTGCTAAAGTTGACCCTTTCTTGGAACACAGGGCTTCCTCTCCCAGCTGACTCTTGTCCTGCATTCCTTTGTCTAAATGTTCTCCATTCCTCCTAGGAGCCCCTTCAGTTTCCTCCCAGAAAATCCCTCTAGAAATATCATTGTCAGCTGAATCACCATCATCACAATTCCTGGAGGATCAAGACTAACTCAGGGTCTACAGAGGAATGAAAATAAAAATATCCCTGATGTTAGGAATGGCATGAAATGCCATTCTATAAAACTTATGAGCAACCCCTCTCCTAAAAATAGAATAAGTATTTAAATAAATTTAAGTATTAATACTTTAGTTATTATACCCTCATAAAATGATAGAAGCATATGCTCAATACAGTAGTATCATTTAAAAATGAAATTAAAGCATCAATGGTGAAGATGAATGGTCTGATAAGAAAAACTTTCAATAGCTTTAGAATATTTTTGTAGGTAAGAACTGGAATAAATGGCATTCCTGTTAATGGAACAGAGTATGAATATGTTCTGGCATCATGACATTGCCATGTATCCAGGAACCTTGGCTCATTTAATATCCAGGATATCAAAGCCTAGAACTGGGGATAATGGGCAAAGGCTACTGAGCTAGGTATGGGCCAGAGTCTATGGCTTCAGTTTAGCAAAGTTACAGTTAGAGAGATAACAGGGAGAGGATAGTGACTTTGCCTTCTAGAAGGATAAATATGGTGAGTGTTTAAGACTTTGTAGGAAACACAATGTTTTGGCTGCGTTGTGGAGCTATTTAACTTGTAGTAATGGACTTACTGTTATATCCACAGAGGAATTCCGGTCTCTTCGCTTGGCCTTTTCTCCAAACTTGGATGACTACAACCCTGACATCCCCGAGTGGAGGAGGGACATTAGCCGAGTCATCAAAAAGTCTCTGGTGGAAGTGAGTATGAGTATTCCCTTCTCTCCGTCAAACATAGTCCTTCTCCGTCCTCGAATGGCTTCATGGAGAATGGAACCTTTGCAAAGGATGGAGAAGACAGAGCTGGAGCCCAGAGGAGATGTCAGTTTGGTATCTTAATATTTGTGATCCACATATGCATGCCTATCTTTATTATTGGGTCAGTGCAGCCCTCAGAAACGTTTGGCCTTTGCCCCTATGAAGCTACTTCTTCAAGAAGAACATGAATGTTTGTGACAGTTATGTATGCAGCTGAGTTCAGGCTTGGGTAAGTTTTTCATTGGTAAATGAAAACTCAATGGCTGCGCATAACCAAGGAGAATACTGTCTAAGTGTCTTCAAGAGTGAGTATAATTAAGAAAAGAAACCCAAGTTCCAGATCCTTATCTGTCACCACACAGCTCTAAGAACACGTGGTACAGGACACCTACCCATATGACCGTGTCTCAATTCTTTTCAAAGATTTCTTTTCCTTCCCAAGAGAAGCTGATCAGTGCCCTCATTTTGTACAAAAAGCCTCTGAGATAACTCCCCCAGACTCTCACAAATAAATAGGTGACAAAACTCCATAATTGAATTGAATGTCCTGTTTCTCATGTCTGGGATCTTACAATGTAACCAGCCTCGAATCCCCCTAAGCTTTCTGGAAGAGTAGCAAGGTCATGTGTATTATTCCTTAGAGGGCACAGGGTTCCTGAAGACTAAGGGAGACATCTTTCTTAAACACTTTTCCCCCTATCTGCTTCATCTTCCTCAGCGAGGCATGGGTTGGTCAATGCAGTTTCCAAACATGAAAAATCAGAAGTATGATTGCTAGATATACAAAACTGACAGAATGAATACATTTAAAAGGTTTTTTTTGGGGGGGGGGGAGAGTGGCTTGTTGGCTGTGGTCCAGCTAGTCTGACAATGGTTGTCTTCCAACAGTAAAGCCCCAAATCTAATAGTCGTTCAGTCTATGAGACTGAGTGTTTTACCTGGTCTTCAAAATACCTTAGAATCACAAAGAACTAGGTTCTAACACTGGTGAAGAAATGGCAGATATTCCCAACTAAAAAATGATCAAATTTAGAGTGGTTTTTCCCATCTCAAATGATCCAATGAAGAAAAATCCTTACAGCTGTATCCAGCCATGGGGTGTTCTTTGCCTAGGCACAAAGGGCCTGGGAAACAAGAGGCCCTTGCTGGCCTGAACAAGACTAAACCGGTATCTGAGAATGCAGTCTGTAACTTCCCCAGATTGAGCCAGCCTAAGTCTGCTGAGAGACCCAGCAACAGCTGCTGTAACGTGAGACAGACAACCTGAACAATGGCCGCCATGAGAGACCCTGATGCTAGCGCTGCTGCTTCTCCTCCCCTAGGACGGGTGGAGGGAGTTTAAGGCTAAAATAAACTGAGCTTGCTGCATCCTGCCTGGCCACTGAGTCTGTGCCATTGACCCCATGCCTACTCACGCAAACGCCCAAAGTGAAGTTCAGTGGGACAAAGCAGCAGATCAAAGCAACACCCAGATGCCTGGGTTTTAGTTAATTGCAGGTGTAGTTAAGTTGACAATCAAGATATACCATCTTGTGCTCTTAGCACAATAGGAAATACCAATAGATCATTTGGTTTTTTCTTTTATTTTTATTTTTCCATTAAAAAATTTACATTTCCTCCCCTCCTGCCATTACCCTCCCACTCCCCCACTTCCCCTCCTTCCTCCCCCTGCCTCCTTAAGAGGGAACCCTGCCTTGTGGGAAGTCCAAGGCCCTCCCCTCTATATCCAGGCCTAGGAAGCTGTGCATCCAAATAGACTAGGGTCCCAAAAGCCAGTACTTTTCTACCGCGCACGGTGGCCCCTGGTCTGTGCTCTATGTGCTAGACCCCAGTTGGCAAGCTTCGGGTAAGGGGCTGGAGGTTGAGAACGCACACACAGAGACAGACCAACAAGCAGAACTTTTAACACTGATACCCAAGCCCCTCTTTATTAGCACCCTGTAGGCTTAAATACACTGCAGTCAATGGACAACAGGTGAAAATCCCATCCTCTGATCCTCTATGCTAGGCACAGCTTCTAGTAACTTTAATTAGAAGGTTCTAGGACTCATTAGTCCCAACACTTTTCTGCTCCCAATACTTGCTGGAGCTTGATGGAAAAGAAAGATGCAGTAAAGACAGTCAGATAACCTCTGATTAGGAAGGCAATCACATATGCTGCCTGTTAGTATTTACCTTCTTACCTGTGTGTGCCTTTACTTATAAATATTTAACACTAAAAATACTTCGGTTTTCTTGATGTTTCATATTATTTAGCTATATTTAGTAGCAAAATTAAGCCGATATTTATTTTTTGTTCATTTCTACTTTGGGTAAAGAACTTCATCAAGGAGGCAAAGGCCATGTAATTAAAAGTCAGTGTTTGAAGCCAGACCCTCAGAGGTAGATCCTTACGTCTCTGCAGTGCTGATGTACTCTAGTCTTTTTTACAATAGGAAACAGAATAAAGGGAATTTTGGGTGGAGAAAGGGAAACTGTGTTACCTCTAAGTAACTGTCATCTCACCTCTGTTTGCATTGCTCAGTGGTAGACCACTGGCCCAACAGAAATTAGGATTACTGTCCTTGGAGTTGCCTGTCACCAGTACCACAACTGATTTCTTTCTTCTGCTATCCAAGCAAGATAGGTTATCCCCCTCAATGAACCCTTTCCCAGATTCTAACGTCTCTGATCCTCTAAGCACCTTGGTTCCCTGGAAACTGGGATCAGCCCCAGTAGTTCATCAACAAGGCATTAGCTCGGCAACACTGAGATTTCTGAGCCTGATTTCTGTTCATACCCATTTTCTAGGGATCAGAAACTGAACATCTACCTTGCAGCCAGCTTCCCAGTGGTCTAGAAACACTGCTCATTAATATTTCCAGTCTGCTGCATGTAATAGCCAACTGGATGTAGAACAACTGTGTTGGATCAACATCCCTCAGGACAGGGTGGTATTGATCTAAAGATAAGGGATAATTAATGCTGTTCAGTTTCCCCAAGAGGCCACTGATCCATTCTCTTGTCCCAGTTATTTCCCTCATCCTTGAGATCAGTAATTACACTTGGCTACTTCATTAAGTCCTAAGGGACCTCATTAATTGTGCTCCTCCAACAAGAAGGACAGCTTGAGTTATCTTGTTTACAGTTTATCCTGTTGCTATGTGACAAAGCTCCATATAAAAGTGGTTATTGTTTCTTCACCAAATTGGCTTTTGATATGGACATAGCATAATGGTATCTTTAAATGAATTTCTATCAGTAGATCTTTTCTTTTTTGCATATAATGAAGATGCTTTGAACTTATTCTCAGAGTTTCAAACTTTGTAGTCCTATATAACAGTGTGGTGTCAGCTCTAACCAGAGTTATATTGTGGCACCAGGATAAAGGAATCACAGAAGATAGGTTATATTTATATACCTCACAGTTAGATCAAAGCTCACCGTGTTACCAAACCCTTTCCAGGTGACTTTGAGCCACTTCTTGACATTGCTTCAGTTTCTGTCTGCCCTGGGTCCCAAATACCTAGATTCCTATTCAGGGAGAGACTTGTCTTAGCTGGGGTGGTACTGAGGGCTGCCTTATTCTAATACTCCTTAGAGTATATCATGTCAAGTAAATATGAGTCTATAGAGTAATTTATCACTCATTTTAAGACATCTCTGAAGAGCCAGTCTATCTGCTTCTGGGACCTCTTGAGACTCCCATTGGGTCTTCATGACAGCCCAGCTCTTGCTGCCCACTCCTGCTCCATTTTCTCCGTTCTCATAGGAAATAAAGAGAAGATTTCTTCAGCATGCTAGAGCCATTGAGTCAGCTTCCAGAAGGCCCCAACCTGTAGTATATCTTCACACACACTCACACAGACACACACACACACTCACACACACACACATACACACACAATATGAACAGTAGGGCATACTCGTGCTTCAAGGCCTTATGGTGAGGAGCTGCATATAACCTTGCTAAGTTTCTCAGCATAAGCACAACTTCTAGGCAGATCAAAATGTACTAATGTCTTGGATTTACTGCTAATTTGGAAAAAAACAACAGTTAAGAAATAACACTAGAGTTAGAAATCATAATCATGAAAAAATGTACTAAAATGCATAGCCCTTTCGATGGCTTATAGGAAATATGTAGAAACAGCCCAGCAAAATACATAAGACATTCTAAGAAACATTGTTGGCATGCACAAATATACCTACAGGAAATGCTAAACATGGAGAAATTGTTCAGAATTGCATTTGGCTGAAGCAAGAAAAGCCCATGTGAGCTCTGGGTAATCGATTTGAAAAGGGAGAGTGGAAGCACTCTATACACCTCCTTGAGCACTTGCTTGATTTAGTAGCAATGGGACAGATTGCAAGCACATTAGGCAGGAGAACATGGCTGGAGTTGGGCTACAGTAGGGGTAAATGAGAACAGAGTAACCTGCCTCTTTGAGGTGAGGATACCATTGCCAAACTCTAGGGTGGCGACCTGAACAGACGACTTGAGATATCAACAGTAGATGGACCCCCACATGCAGGAATGAAAGGATCATTCATGCAGAGGGCAACCGGTAAAATTCTCACATGTAGCAGGAGAAAAAGAGGAGGGTATATCTCGGAGGAGAAAGGGTGATGGTCCCAAACTAACATAACTGGACAAAAGCCTACTTTGGGTCAAAGAAATGCAAAAGGAAGACATGGGAGTGATAATAAGAAATTACTTTTAATATGACTATTAAAATCTTAGTGAAATAAACATAGTATTTTGAGTGGTCACAAGGGGAAAAGTTAATTCTAGAGCCATCTTGGAAATGGGCTCAGTGATCCCTAGGCTATCAGTATGAGACCAAATAATTAAACAATGAATAAGCTTCTCAATGCTATTTGAACTTTTTATCTTTATTTTAATTTCTATGAGTATGTATTAATTATATATAATGGGACATTTTATTTCATATAGGTATGTAATATATGTTGATCAATTTCATCCCCTTTAAGAATCTGAATTCCAGCAGAAGTGCTTCATGTACTGAGAGTCGTAGGTTAGCAAGTCAGCATTACTTGTTATGCTAGCACCATTTGTTAAATATGCTTTCTTTTTTCCATTTTATATTTTTTCCTTCTTTGTCAAAAATCAGGTGTTCATATGTGTGTAGATTAATATTCAGGTCTTCGATTTGGTTCCATTGGTCCTCCTGTCTGTTTTTATGCAAACACCAGGTTGTTTTCAGTACTGTAGCTCTGTAGTAGAGTTTGAAGTCAGGGATTATGATGCCTCCAGAAGTTCTTTTATTGTACAGGATTGTTGTATAATAAAATTGTACAATAAAATTGGCTATCCTGTTTTATTTATTTATTTTTTTTTGCTTTTCCATATGAAGTTGAGTACCATTCTTTCGAGGTCTGTAAAGAATTTTGATGGGCATTGCATTGAATCTGTAGATTGATTTTGGTAAGATTGCCATCTTTACTATGTTAATTATACCTACTCAAGAGCATGGGAGACCTTTCCACTCTCTGGTGTGTTCTTTAATTTCTTTCTTCAAGAAAGATTAAAAGATTTAAAGTTCTTGTCATACAAGTCTTCCACTTGTTTGGTTAGAGTTACTCCAAGAGGGAACACTCCAGAATTGCTGGTGGGAGTGCAAGCTGGTACAGCCATTTGGATATCGATATGGCGATTTCTCAGAAAATTAGGAAGCAAGCTTCCTCAGGACCCAGCAATACCACTTTTGGGTATATACCCAAAGGATGCTCAATCATACCACAATGATATGAGCTCAACTATATTCATAGCAGCTTTTTTTTTGTCATAGCCAGAACCTGGAAACAACCTAAATGCCCTTCAACATAAGAATGGATAAGAAAAATGTAATACATTTAAACAATGGAGTACTACACAGCAGAGAAAAATAATGGCATCTTGAAATTTGCAGGCAAATGGATGGATCTAGAAAGCATCATATTGAGTAAGGTAACCCAGACCCAGAAAGATAATTATCATATGTATTCACTCATAAGCGGTTTTTAAACATAAACAGAGAAAGCCAGCCTAAAACCCACAAACACAGAGAACCTAGACAACAATGAGGACCCTAAAAGAGACACATACATGGATCTAATCTACATGGGAAGTAGAAAATGACAAGATCTCCTGAGTAAATTAGGAGCATGGGGACCTTGGGAGAGGGTTGAAGGAGAGAGGAAAGGCAGGGAAGGGAGCAGAGAAAAATGTATAGCTCAATAAAATCAATAAAAAAATGAAAACAAATTCTACTTAAGGAAATATACATACAGGCCTAAATGACTAATAAAACAATCCCTGTGATGAATGTGGAGTAGAGCCTGAATTTAACATTCTGGCTTTGAGCCTAACTGATGACCCAATGATGCCCATCCAGTTCTCTACTGTCCACACTACCTGTGTCTCTGTTCCTGAGTCACCACTCCTCACATTCCAGTATGGCTTCTGTCTAATCACCATGTCTCTATCATCATTGTCCTTAGGACTCACCCAGTCTCTGTCTCTCCCACAGGCCACAGGGATTCCCAGCCAGCATATCCTGGTGGCGGTGTTACCTGGCTTACCCACCGCTGCTGAACTCTTTGTTTTGCCCTACCAAGATGCAAACAGAGAAAACAAAAGGTCAACAGAGGACCTGGAGCAGGTGAGTTGCCCAGAAGACCTTTCCAACATCTCCCTGCATCATCTCCCACCCCAATAGCTCTCACAGGATTCTTGGAGTCTGCGTTTTAACTTTAGCATCAGTGGACAATTTAATCAGAGATCTGAGAGCAGGTGACTTCTTTGAAGGCCATGCCACTTAGAATTTGGTACTGATTTAGGGAAGTCTACATTTTGGTGAAGAGATCACGGGTATAGAGCCAGTTTTGTAGTTTTGTCGCTGATCTTCATGGATATTAAGAAATTAAGGACAATAAACTAGTATTTATAATTTAGCAAAAGTCACAGCAATCCCATAGGTATTTGTGTTGATTAAAGAAAAAATACAAGAAAGCACCTGGCCAATATAATAAATGTTCAGTAAGTGTACCAATTACTTTTATGGCTGTTTTATGGTTGAAAACAATTTGGAAATAAGAAAACTAAGTTCTTCAGTTTATTAAATAGACTGGGATACTGAAGGTCATTTTTGGAAGAAATAATGTTGATAGTGGGGAAGTGAAATGATTAATGAATTGACTTTCACAAAGTGGAGAATCAAACAAGGACAGTAAGAAAATGGAAGAATATATCATGACAAAGTAGCTAGTATCATTACCAGTTATGAGGGTTTATAGTAAAAAAAGGTACTTCAACTATTTCAGTGAAAAAGCAATATACCAAGCTAGAGGTCAAAACATTGATTAAGGAAATTGATTATATTTTAGCCTGTCCCAGACTGTAATCAAAGTAAATCCAGTATCCAATAAAACCCATGAGAAATTAGTGCTTTATGTATGGAAAATATTATTTTCCTGATTGAAAAGTGCATAGATAAAATTACCTTACAAGGAAGGCCAGGCTGTGTATTGAGACTCCTTAAAATAGGTTGCCCACCGATAACCTGTACTTTTCATTCTAGTTAAGATCTGTTGATGCTTTTCTCAGTCACTTATATAAATGAGGAAGTGGAAGGAGTGAGCTTACAGACTCATTTAATTTAAAGGTCCAGGGATACAGTTCAGAACCAAACCAGAGTGTCATCAAAGTATTTCGTCTCTCCTCCTTTTCTTGTGACCACATAGAAACTGCTGCAAGAATAGAGCCAGTGCACAGAAAGCAAGGATGGCTATGCAATCCTGGCTTCTGTTTAGTCTGAAGCTGATCCTGCTCTAAAGATCGTGTCTTCCCTCCAGTAGCACCACCAGCAGTCCATGTTGTCACGGGTCAAGTGTAGGTCAAACGGACGGGCACCTCTTAACTCTTGCTGTCATCTAGATAGAGTAGCACTGCTACAATTTCTGCTGTTCTTGCTCCTTTGTGGATCAGAGGGTGTGAGTAGCCCATCCCTAACTATTAATAAATATGAAATCAGAGGATGAGGTTCTTCATAGAAGGATGTGAAGGAGGAAGGAGCATTGGGGGTGTTAAAACACTTCCATTGTAATAAAAGAAGCAGACTTCTAAGACCGACACAAAAGATACAAGCAGCAAAATAGAGTCCATTCTGTGAGAGCTGACTCAGGAATGCTGCTGATCTTAGCCACACCCTTCATGCTCTGGTCCCCTCCTTTTAGAAATTGTACGGAAGGCCCTGTAGAATAAGAGCGTGGATCCTATCCAGTAGATCCTGAAGAGTGGCAGGGAACCCCCCCAATGAAGTGTCCCTGGCTCTCTTCCCTGAGCCACTTCTGAAAGCACTCCCAAGGGAACAGAAATGCTGTTGAACTATCTCGCCTGTGAAGTAAATAGCGAATTCTTAGCAGTGAGAAGCACTTGACCCCTTTATCAGATGCCACTGCTGGGTTAATCAAGTGCCCTCTGTCTGGGAGAGCTTTACCAGTCCTGTTTTCAGGTCTCTAGAGAGTGTGAAAAGGCTCTCTTGCTCTCGGAGGCCTCAGCAAGAAAAGCACATCATGCTATCCCAAGACCGACTGCTCAAGTCTGGAGCAAGCTCTGCCCTCTGGGCCTTTCATCCCTTGCTTCTCTCTGAGTCCTCTACATTAAGAGATGTGGATCTGTCACTTCTGGAAGGAAAAGAGACCATGATGCTCTAAAGAGGCTATGATGTCTTGATGGAGAGAAGGCGGGGGAGGCTCATGCTTGTGGTCTTTCCACTCCTTAAATGATATTATGGGAAAAGCACTCCAGCTGGTTATCCAAAAGCAAGTGCTCAGACCTGAAAACATACATACAAATAATAATACATAGACAGAGAAGGTCATATTTAGGAACATATATGACATAAACATAAGTATATAACAATGAAAGAAGAGACCGTAATTTCAGAACAGACTAAGAGAGTTATATGAGAGTTTACAGGAAGTAAAGAAAAAGAGGAATTATTATAATTGTATTGTAATATCAAAAATAAAAGTAAAATTAAAAGGTATTTAAAAGAAACAAAAGGGATAGTAGAAAAAATACCAAACACAAATAATACATTTTCTGTTTAATCTGTGTTAGTCCTCATAGACACAGATTGGAAATTTTGAGAAGAGATAAATGAAAAACATCTATAAAATATATTAACCTATTGGTATCATTTAATAAGCTTAATATTTAGTCAACAAGCACAAATTCTTTATTTTGTGCACTTATGCTATTACCTGTCAGTCCTGAATTTGAAACATGGGGATTTGGGTTGTAAAGATCATCTGATAGGGAAAAGAGAAGAACTGTAGTCAAAACAAGGCTAGTAAGAGGTGACTCAAAGGCATATGCTACATAAAAGAAAAACTTACAGCTGGCAATAAAGTATCCAAAGAAAGAATGGTAAAGGAGCCTCAACTAGAATTTAGAATTTGGCTCCACTGTCTCTTCACCATGTTGTTGTGGTGTATGATGGGGAAAAGCTTCCTCTGTTAAAAACAAGGACTTCCTCAACTCCCAGTTTACAGGACTACAGGTCCAGGCTTTATCAACTGATCTTCTCCAAAGTCACCCCGCCTTATATTGTCTCTAAAGATGTCATCAGAGTAGTGTTCTATTCAGCAAGGTTGACATTCCCCAGACCAACGTTATGAGCAAGTGTTACTACTTTGGACCTGTCATTGATAAATTTGCCAAAGACTATTTTTAACAAAGTATTTGCTGTGTGGGAATTTCAAAAAATGTGGATAAGAGCACCACACATCCCTGCAGTGATCCTAGCACATGTCACAGGAGGGCCGTTCAGGATTATGTGTGCTTTCCTTAGATTTCTGAGGATCTGCAGGGAGAACTCTGTGAGTGGGGGGGTGGGGGGGTCATTCCTGAGCTGAGAAGCTGCACTAGCCTAGCTAAACTAGGACACTTCAGAGAATCCATTTGGATATTAACATTGAGTGTCCCTAAGACCAAATAGCATGTATCATCTAGTTGACCCCAAACCTAACAAGTTGGGGTACCAGCAAATAGAGGTTCAAATGCCCACTCAACAAAGGTGGGGCATATGTCCATATCAAAATAAAATACACTACCAATTTTCTAACTCAGAAACCCAGGTTTCAAAAAAAAAAAAAACAGAAAACAACACTAACCACCAAGAAAATATCTGTCCTCCAAAGTAAATTAGTCCCATTAGTCCCACAATAATGTACACCAAGGGAAGCAACTTAGATTATGTACAAGGTAATAAGTTCAAAGTAACAATTATAAACATGTCCGAGGAACTCAAGGAATAATAAGAATAAATTCTGTGATGAAGACTAAAAAAAACATAAACATTCAAATAAAATAAGTAAAACAATTCAACATTTTGCTTTATTTAAGTAATATTTTTATTATTAGAAAATTCCATATGTGTAAACAATGAATTTTCATTATACTGATTTTCCACACCCCATCCCAACTCTCCGCACTCCCAGCACATCCCCCTCTTAACTTCATATGGCCTTTCCTGAATTCACATCTCCACTTTGTGCCACCTGCTTTGGACTGTTTAAAAAATTTACTGTCTCGTACTGAAAACAGCCTGGAATTGGCATAAAAACAGACAGGAGGACTAGTGGAATTGAAGTCCCAGATATCATTCCACAAACCTGATTTCTGACAAAGAAGGAAAAATTAAAATGGGGAAAAGAAAGCATACTCAACAAATGGTGCTGGCATAACTGGATGTCAACATGGAGAAGGATGAAAATAGATCCATATCTGTCACCATGCATAAAACTCAAGTCCAAACGAATCAAAGACCTCAACATAAAAACAACCACATTGAACCTCACAGAAAAGAAAGTGGGAAGTACACTTTAATGCATTGGCACAGGAGACCACTTCCTAACTATAACCCCAGTAGCACAGTCTCTGAGAAAAACAATTAACAAATGAGACCTTTTGAAACTGAGAAGCATCTATAAAGCAAAGGACACAGTCAACAAGACAAATTGGTAGCCTATGGAATGGAGAAAGATCTTCACCAAACCCACATCGGACAGAGAGAGGGCTGATCTCCAAAATATACAAAGAACTCAAGAAATTGGCTGTCAAAAGAAGAAATAATCCAATAAAAAATGGGGTACAGACATAAACAGTGCCGTGAGTTAAACACTGTGCCATTTTTATCTCCTAAACTCACTTACCCAGATATACAACTAAACATCTTCCTCTCTTCCTCTTAATTAAATGATTAAAGAAACCTGTTTTATTTTTAGTAGTCCTGAGCTAGGTTTAGGAGTGAGACAAAGCTAAAGTCTAGTCTCAGCTCCTCACATATTCACTAGGTGAACCTGGATATGTCCTTTGAGCCTGTGCCATGGGGATAGCAGCATAGACACAGGGGAAAATAGACAGACATAGGCAGCATTCTCAGGATAAAGTGTTCAATGCACATGTCATATACTTAAATATATAAATAGCATCTCATGATCTAATGAAGACAATGCAGCATACGTGCTCCTGTAATTAACCTGGTAAGAGCTTTAAAGTATTGTTGAAATTTGTAAATTGCTTACTACTAATTTATTTGAATAGCAAAATGCCTGGTTCTAATTGAGGTTATTCTTGTATAGAATGTAAATTACATTTACTTTTACTTCTTATGCATAATTTCTCTCCCATAGAGTCTATGTCCTTTATCAAATATCTTTTGATGCAAGTTAAATAACATGAAGTGAGTTTTGTTACCTGATTAATTTTGCATACCTGGCTTAGCTTTGTAAGTGATATAGACAAATTCATTGAAGCAATGATAGAAACCAACACACATCTAATTATTTTCACGAGGGACTCTCTTAGAGATAATAAATTAAAAGTAGGTTGTTCTGATAAATTATATTTTCTGATTTAATTATTTATATGTCTCACTTGAATATGTTCATGTTCAGTATTAAGAAGTAATTTCACTTCACTGTGAGAAGTTCTCCTGCTGTTGATGCATAGTTCTGTTTTATGTTTCTAATAGTCTTTAGGAAACAGGTAAGTTTCTTTTTTGGTTTTTCGAGACAGGGTTTTTCTGTGGTTTTGGAGCCTGTCCTGGAACTAGCTCTTGTAGACCAGGCTGGTCTCGAACTCACAGAGATCCGCCTGCCTCTGCCTCCCAAGTGCTGGGATTAAAGGCGTGCGCCACCACCGACCAGCACAGGTAAGTTTCTTAATTGCTTTTGAGACATCTTTCATGTTTTGACTAGAGTGTTTTTTTCATTATATATCTATATATGCCGTGTATGCCTGTGTTTGGATGTTTACATGTATCTGTATATTAATGTTTACATGCATTTGTAAGTTTCAAAGTCAAAACTTTTGTGATAGACATTTACTAAAAATTCATATTTATTTCCTATCAAGACCTCACTAGATAAGCAGTAATGAGAGATTACAGAGAAAACACTTTGATGAAATTACTTGAAAACCTGTCCTTCCTGTAAACCTGGACAGTTAAGGGAAATTTCCCATGCTTATGAAAAAGGGACCAAATTGTTTTCAGCCTGGCTTTATCACACCCTTGCTTTTCTTCATGGTTTCACAAATGACAACATTGGAGAGAAGGACCCCAGGTGCTTATCCATGGGACTCAGGGAACAATCTGACACTCCTCTTGGTCAGTAGAGAAGTTTATGTGCTGGGCACTGCAGGTCCATTGCCTACTAGTGACTTCTAGCATGAACTCCAAACTAAACCGTCAGACCTTGCTTAACTGTTTACACAGTGCCATTCTGGCAACTTAGTAGAGAAGATGAAACTCAGCAAATAAAGGGAAAGCAGAAGAATTTAACTATAAAAATAATGGTCAGCATCCAGCTAATTAGATGTAATAGAATATTAAATAAAATATGAACTTGACGCTTAAAATAGTGTATTACAAAGAAGGCAATGATAGCAGATAAAAATAAGTAGCATGGTTATTCCTACGAGCCTTTCCGAAGTGCCCCAAAATGTGTAAGTCAGGCATAGTAAATTTCTATGCTAAAAAAACAAAGTTTTTACCCTATCTTTAATACTTTACCGCATGTAATTTCTACTCAAACACCTTGCTCAGGCTAACAGTCTATGGTCTAGAATTCCATACCTCTTCCAAACATACACCAACGTCAGGAATAGTTTAGCAAATGTCTATATGCATGACACAATGATTAACTAACTCGTTGCTTAAACTGTGATGGCATTGTGTTTAACAGTATTGTTTATTATGGTATTGACAATGTTAATTTATCCAACAGTCAAAAAGTGCTTACCCATGGTGGTTTAGAGAAAGTGAAGGAAGCAAAGTAAGTCAAACCCAGAATGTGTGGATTGTACCAAGCTGCTACTCGGTCTTATGTACAACAGACCCACCCTTTCTGTCATTTGCCGTATAATGTTAGTAGGTGTTGATAAATATTCAACATATCCCTAAGTGTAGCTATTCATAGTCAATACTTTGGTAGCACTAACTGTAAGACTTCTTTCAGATATCTGAAGTTCTAATCCACAAACTCAACCAAAACTTGGTGCACTTCGAGCTGAAGCCTGGGGTCCAAGTTCTTGTCCACGCAGCCCACCTAACAGCAGGTCAGTTTCCATGTTTGGGGTTCTTGCCAGCAACTGTGCTGCAAGGAAATCACTTTCATTGTGATCAGGGAGAGATGGTAGCTATAAATTGGGCACAGCTCTTGAAAGTCTCCTTAATTGATTGTTCTGCCCTAATGGGGTACCAGTTTGGCAAGTGAACAAGCTATTGTTTCCCCTTAGTCCCTGGAAAACAGTTCAATAAATCACCTAGGCACATGCTCTCATGTCATAACATGCTTTATCTCAATATACATGTAAAAAGAGCATTAATCTCATAAGTGATGTTTTTCAAATTTTCCTATAAAGCTGTATTTTTGATTCATTCATAGCTCAAAAATTTTTTTCTTTATATTCCATGCTATGGGAGTACAGGTTAAGAAGAGGTTTAGGAGCAATAGAGTAAACTTTCATTTAGTCCTAATTTTATAAATAAATATGTTTGATCTTCTGTCTCTTTACTTATAAAAAGCAGTCAAGGAAGTCTTCCTCTCTACAGAGAGAGCTCTCAATGAGAAATAAGTAATCTTAAGAATTTATAAATATATATCATTGTGTATGTTAATAAAAAATTAGATGAACAATATTTATGAATTACTTTTTTGGCAGAGTATTTTACTGGTGCTTCATGGGGCACAGATGCCAACTGGAAATTGTTTGTATAGTGATAAAACTAATGAAATGGTTTGGTGTGGGAAAGTATGCTGTTGGCATTGCATAGAGGTCTGCTATAGGACAGGGATATAGTGTAGTAGGCAGTTAAGGGGGTCTCACAATAAGTAAATGTATGCATGTTTGTGTACAAAGTAAACACATTGTGTATTAATATTTAACTTGAAAACCTTTTTGGTTTTGTTCGCTTTTTCTAGCCCGATCTATGGTTTCTATCATTTTTCTAGAACTCACAGTGCACACCTAAAATACAGATTTAAATTTTGTGTACTATAGAGGTAGCCGTGGAATGTAAGTCAGTGGGAGAAGTAGCTTAACTTGGATGGTATAATTAGAATGTGTGGCATGTGGAAAGTTGTTTTTCTTTTAATGCCTTTGTATTATTAACAAGTGAAGCAATTTAAAAAGATAAAGACAGAGATGAATTCTATTAGTTCCAAATGATATTGAATATTTTTATAAAGGAGGTGGTATTTGGGGGGAATCTTTAAGGGTGGATAGGACAGAACTCATGAGATATTCCAAAGACCAAAGCACCAAGGGTAAAAGGCTTAAGGTTGCTGAGGAAGGCAAACAAATGAGGATGGAGGGGAGAAGCTTCCATCTCAATCCTTCATTTTCTTGGGGATTCCAGGAGGTCCCCATGTCTGGAAGCAGGTTTACTATATTGTCACTGTTTATTTTTCTCCCAATATCTCAAAAACTAAGTAGTCAGATGTAATTATTATGGAACAGAGGGAAGGGAGGTAGAGTATAGAACACACCATGTGAGCCTTCTGTACTTTAGTGAACTCTAAGAAGCCATAAGAGTCTTTGAGAAGCAGTGTGACATTTACTTAATTCATTAGCTGAACTTGCCTAAAATTCATATCACCATCCTCTCCCACAGGACACAGAGTTACTTGCTCATGTATCTATCAATTTTGAGACTGAATACAGTAGAGCCTGACGTTCTATACAGAATTCTGCATTTTAAGGGATATCTTTCATTTCTTGGAAATTAAAGCTTGCCTCACAGCATATTCAGCTTCTGAATGAATTCAGCAAGTGATAAATTACATTGTTGTGTGACTTGATCAGAAAAAAAATCTTTTTCTATGTACATAAAGACTCTATTGGAGTGAGGGGAATAGCCAAGGCAAGCTAAACAAAGATCTAGCTATATTTCTCCAGTTTCTCTATTCTAGGGGCCATCTATGTTTTGATCCTCTACTTTTTCACACATACTTTCTCTCAGTTATTATGTGTGCCAGCTTTTCATTTCACCTGTCATATTATACTTTAATATGTATCACATTATTTTGGTAAGTTTGACACGCAGCAATACAGCACTCAAGAGGTGGCCAGGAGAATCAAGGCAAGCCTGGTTAGTTAGAGATCCTATCTCAAATAAAAGAAGAATAGAAAAAGGAGTGAGTAGGTGGGTGGACTTTTTTTGAGAACTAATTTCAAATTAATACCAAGTTGAAAAGTGGGTAGTTAGATATTTGAGGCTGATGTAGCCCATGCATTAGCCATGAGAGACTAATGCAGCAAGGACGTCCTAAGATATATGTGGATCCATAGCTCACATGGGAGCTTCAGTCTTAATAACTATGAGAAATTCATGCCACTGGAGTGACCAGGACCAATACCAAGTTGAAGACAACGGAGAATTCCCTCCATTTCATGCTTAGAATTCTTCACAGATGAGTGTTTGGGAACAGGAGTTATGTTTCTGGGAGGAAACGCTAGCAGAAAGAATAGATGTCATTAAAAGTCCACATAACTATCATATTTGAAAGACAGATAATGTATTAAAGATGTGTATGACTCATCAAGATTGCCACGACAAGAAAAAGATACAGCTGTAGGCAGGGCAGGAGGGAAAAGCACTTAAATGGGGCAGCTTAATGAGAAAGAAAATCCTTGTCTTCCCATCGTTGTGGCTGTTTACTTTCCTTCCTACTAGACTCGTCACTAATGTCTTCTGCAAGTCCAATTGCAAACACTCTATCTGCCAGCATTATGAAGTTTCTGTCACGAATGACTCAGCAGCTATATTGATGTAGACTTAATGTGGAACATTAGTTTCTGTGCAGGATGAAAATGACCAAGACTAAAAGAATAAGTGAACTTCAAAATGCTGTCTGTTCACCTAAGAGTATAGAACTGGCCATATTCCTAGGAACAGACATTCTGGGATGGACTTTTGTAATAACATGAACAGACAAACATGAGTGTCAAGAATGACACTTAAATAATTATGATGATGAAGTATCAGTTTCTTACTTGACATCGATCCTGGCAAAGCTCTTGCTACCTTATTTAGAAAAATAAAAACAGCTATTTGAACACCAGTGCATTGGACCACATATCTACCAAACAGAGTAGAGGGTAATTTCCTTTCATGCAAGCAAAACAGGGCACATTAGATGAAGGGTGGGTGGATTGTGGAGCTTGCAGTCGTGATTTCTAAACTGAAATTAGCATATTCATATATGAGGGAAGAAGATTGTTTGCTGCCTGTATGGCATTTTAGTTCCCATTCTCTTCTCATCCTCTCATATCCCTTACAGGAAGGGAAAACCCCCTTGTAAAGGACCACTGTCTGCAGCATTTCACGTCCCTAAGCAGGACTAGGGAAACCTGCACAGGGACCACTATCGCACACTGCTGCCTCCATTAATTGCTTGGCAGATGTTCACCAGCCTCCTTTTTAAGATGTTCAAGCCGGAGTACGTTGCTGGTGAGAGGCAGTGCATGGTTTGGTTATCCTCCCAGGGAAATGAACTGTCTCCTTTCAGGAATTTACTAGCCTTATTTTGCTCTTCACATTCACTGCCCTGGTTGCTTTCAGGGGAGCATAAGAAAAGCATTTGCAGGAATCTGGGTGCCATTAGAGACTGGATTTTGCTTATCTCCTCCTGTATTCTCTCTTTGGGAATTCATTAATTTCTGTAGCTACGCCAAGCTAAACTTTGAGCGCAGTGTTTATTTTGTTCATAGTCTTTCCTGTGCTTTTTGGAAACTGATTTCTCTTGAGGGTCTAGCCACATCTGACAGATACATTTCTAGAACTCTCTTTGCAGAAACAAGAGATACGGCATTATGTAAGAACAGGAAGAAGTAAAGAACGTTTGTTAGGAAGGTGGAACCAAGGTCACAACTTGAACAAATACTTTTGGCTTTTAGAACATTGGTCAACATATAGGGGCTAGAACCTACCAGAAACTCAGAACAAAGTACACAAACCAGCAACATTTGGAATTTGAACCAAGTGGGACTTTGTTCATACTAACCACCCATGCCGCACACCGCACCCCTGTGTCTGCTCTGTGCGCTGGCACCCTGTTACTGAGCATCGGGCAAAGGGCTGGAGGCTGAGAGACAGACTGACAAATGCAGCTCCAAACGCTGGTTCCGAAAGCCCCTCTTAATTAACACCATGTAGACTTAAATACACTGTAGTTAATGGCAAACAGGTGATCCTCTGATCCTCTAACTAGGTACAGCTTCTAGTAACTTATATTAGAAGGCTCTAGGAGGGAAAAGCAACTGAAGGCCAGGACTCATTAATCCCAACATCACCCCCCTTTTCATAAAACAGAAGACCCTCCTGTCTTAGTTCATCTCAAAAGAATAAACCCTTACCTGTCTTTGGGAGGCCCCTTCCCTGTCTTAGGCTGGTCCTCTTCTGTAGATGATGCCCATCTACAGAGGAGTCTTCATTGTTGGTGCAGTATTTACAACCAAACCTTACTGGCTAACAGGGTCAGAAGGACTTGCTAAGTGACCATATGCTGTATTTTCATGGGTTGTCTGATCTTACACAGAATTCAGAAATGAATGCCCATGGCAACAGGCATTGATTGCCAGCAATAGGGTCCCTAATCACCACTGGACCCAGACTCCCATTTGGGCTATGGTATTCAACCATCTCTTTGGCTAAACAGTTACAATCTGGTGTGCTAATTGTAAGATTTAAGAGCTATTCAAGTAACCATTGAGTTGTTTCACCACATAAGAGGCATTAGCAATATTAACAGATGTCACACAAATGGAATGATAAAAGTGTGAACAAGACATTTGTTGTACTAGCCATAAGCCCACCTGCTTCTACAATAGGGCAGTCTCTTGATTTAAATTCAAAAGTCCAAATTTAATGTGGACGCTCAGGGCATTCTGAGTCTGTAGAGCATTGTTGACTTGTCTCGCCAGTTTATCCACGGTGTCCCACACCAACAATGTTTGTGCCGTTGCCAGTCCTGCAACCATGGCTGCAGCAGCAGACACCGCGACGAGAGCAATCACTGCAGCTGTCTCTCCAGAATCTCGTTTCTCTTGATAAA